GGTGTTCCACCCCTCCCCCTCCACATTTCCCCCACACACTAGTGTCCTTTGAAGCGTAAGTTACAAGTTTTGATGTTTCATTTGTTTTTTCTCTTGTTTTTTGTGCTTTTGATATTGTATGTAATAAATCATTGCCTTACTCAAAGCCCTGAAGACTGACCTCCAATTTTCTTCTAGGAGTTTTATAGTGTTAGCTCTTACATTTAGGCCTTTGATCCATTCTAAGTTAAGTTTTGTGGATGATATATGTGGCAGGGGACCAGTTTCATTCTTTTGCATGTGAATATCCAGTTGTTGCAGCACCATTTGTTAAAAGACTATTCTTTCCCAGTTGAATGGCCTTGACCCCCTTGTCAATGATCAATTAACTGTAAAGGTGAAAGTTTGTTTTTGGATATTCATTTCTGTTCTTTTGGTCTATATGCCTGTCCTTACGCTATTACTATACGGTCTAGCTTTATAATAAATTTTGAAATTGGGAACTGTGAGTCCTCCTACTTTGTTCGTTTTTAAGGTTGTTTTGGCCATTGTAGGTACCTTCCATTTCCATGTGAATTTTAGCTTCAAATTGTTAATTTCTGCAAAAAACCATTTGGGCATTTGATAGAAATTATGTAGAGTCTGTAGAAAAGTTTTAGGGACTATTGCCATTTTATTTATCCAGTCCATGAATACTGGAGATCTTTCTGTTTATTTATTTTTTCTTTAATTTCTTTCTGCTGTGTTTTCTAGTTTTTATACTACACTGTATTTTATTGTATAGGTTCTGCACTTATTTTGTTAATTCTTTTCGATGCTATTGTACATGGAATTTTTCAAATATTATTTCTGGGTTTGTGCTATTGCAAATGTATAGAAATCATTTGATTTCTGCAGCCTTCTTAAATACACTTATTTGTTCTAGTAGTTTTTTTTTAGTACTTTCCCTAGGATTTTCTATATAGAACTGATCATGTCATCTGTGAGCAGAGTTAGTTTTTTTCCCTTTCTTTCCAATTTGGGTGTCTTTTCTTTTATTTTCTTGCTTTTTTCATTTTCTTTCTGGCTAGTCACCCTCATCTTATTTAGCGATATTTGATACAGTTGATCATTCATTATCACTATTTACTTGACTTCTTAGAGATCACGTCTTTTGTCTCTTGTCTCGTTGCCTGCATTCTCATCATTTTCTCCTGGTTCTTCCTCTCCCTCTTATTCATTATCCACCTGTGAACTCTAGACTCAAGTATCCACTTGCCCAGTGGATAACTCCACTTAGGTGTCCAATAGGAGTTCAAACTTGACATGTCCAAAATGTAATCTCTAATTTTAGATGGAGTATTTTGTGGGAAAAAAAGAAAAGACATAAGTTAACATTTACTGAACGTTTACTATTAGAGTTCTTGATTGTCTTGTTTCATAATACATCTCAACTCTGTGGCTCATAGGAGACACAAACCCTGATCAGTTTGATCCCAGAGCCTGAGCTCCTTCCTAATAGCTGAACTGTATTTCTCCACAAGTCACAAAGTGTATATCTCTACTTTTCCCTCCTCATGGTGGTCTTTTGGAGTAGTATAGTAGGTCAGGAAAAAAGGATCTCATAGGATCACTGGGCAAGAGAAATAGAAATGGTTGTGAGCCATGCAGTGCTTTGGGACTGCTGCTGCTCTCTTCCATGCTGAGTGGACATATAGAGGTGTCTGCAGTGTACGGACAGGCTTCTCCACCCTTAGGAAAAGCTTAGCTTTCGTGGTTGGCTAGTTTCTCTTCGCCACTTTCCCATATTAGATTTTCTGTGTCCTTGAGGTATTCTTCCCATCCATTAGAACCACTCTCATTTATTTACTTAATTGGATTCTCCCTTATCTTTATTCCTCATTCCTTATTATCTATTTCCCATTTTTGTATGAATTGTCATCTCCTCTGAGTTTGTGCAATATATTCCTCTCTGACATTTGTTTGTTTTGTACTTAGCTTTGAAAACTTGCTCAACATTTCTGAGTCAACACTTCTTTTTTTTTTTTTAAAGATTTATTTATTTATTTATTTATTTATACGAGCACTGGGTACAGTCAGAAGCTCAGGAGGGTGAGAGAATTCACCAGAGCCAGAACGGGGAACAGAACAAGTAGACTGATGAAATACACTGCTGAGGGGAGCAGCGGGCGCAGCAGGAGAGGTCTGCGTGCCATGTGGGACCCTTGCCGGCGGCCAGGGATCAAACCGGCGCTGCAGAGACTGCAGGCAGCTTCGCAGCCTAGTGCTCAACCACTGCGCCACCAGGGGAAGCCCTCAACACTTCTTTATTAAAATGTTGGTTACCAAAAAAATTGTTATATTTAAATAGTAGTGGTAACTCTAATTGCTTCCTAAAATCTTATCTTTAGTAGAAGTAAAAATGTTCACTGTGAATCTATTCATGTTGGAAATACATATTTATAATAAATTTTTTTCCAAATTAAAAAAACCCAAACATTTACACTGTTCTCAGGTGGCATCTGCAATCACATTTGTCCCCATAATATGTGTCCCAGGAAGCTAAAAAATGTGGAAAAATGATGGTGAGGTCAGTTGTCCATGTTCTCAAACCCAGTTAGGGGCAGAACCAGTTGTTTCCAGTTAAGCTGGTTTATTCTGAGAAAGTCTGTGAGTTGGGTCTGATGTCCACTGTGGGTGAGGTCCCATCCCAAGGTTTTGCCTCTTGGTGTCCAGAGATCTCACCCTTCCCAGAAAACCCCTCACTGCTACCTTGTTCTATCTGTTGAGCCTTTCCTGGACACCATTTTCTATTGGAGCTAACCTCTCTCCTGTCTTTTTCAGCTAAGTGTCTTGCCAATTATATCATGAAGCTTTATGATAAAATATCTGGGGTCAGAAATTAATTCAAGACTCAAGTTTCTGTCCGGGGTTTGGGCCATCTGAGCTTCACAGAACAGATGATCTTGAAGGGTATTTGTAGCTCCAGCCTTCTCAGGCTTTGTGATTCTATTTCTCTAATAAGGGAACCTAGACTAATCACTGAGGTGTGTGACCAGCACAGTATTTGGTGTTTATTTAATATGCTACACCAGGGATGGCAAATATGTAGCTTCTCATCCATCTGTCAACCATGGTAGACAGATGGACATCATATTTATCTCAGCACTTACACAGAACCCAGTCATGACCTCAGACTTTTCAAATCAGTGGATCACAGTTAAACTGTGTTTGTTTTCTTGTCCTCCCTTCTACTTCTCTGTGGTTTTGCTACCTGCATTCAAATCCTGTCTCCATTGCTCCCTTTCTGTGTGACCCTGAGAAGGTTACCTGACTTCTCTGGGCCTCAGTTTCCTTATTTGTAATATGGAACAAAACAAGAATACTACCTCATAGGATTGTAGGAAGAATTAAGTGAAGTAAGTGTATTAAAAAGTGCATGGGATAGTGCCCGGCACAATGGAACTCAAGTAGTATTAACTATTTTTTTTTTTAAAGATTTATTTATTTATTTATACAAGCAGTGGGTACAGTCAGAAGCACGGGAGGGCAGGAGAATTCACCAGAGCCAGAGCGGGGAGCAGAGCAGGCAGAAGGACCGAAGTACACTGCTGAGGGGAGCAGCGGGCGGCAGGAGAGGTCTGCGCGCCATGCGGGACCCTCCGCCCGTGGCCCGGGAGCAGCCGGGGATCAAACTGGCGCTGAAGAGGCCGCGGGCAGCTTTGCAACCCAGCGCTCAATCGCTGCGCCACTGGGGAGGCCCAAGTAGTATTAACTATTATGTTAGTCATAGGCATGGTAAAAATTTGGAAGGCTGGTAGAGGAAAAATTCTTGGGTTAACATGATCTGTGTCACCCTTTCAATCTCCAGAGTATTTAAATATTCATCCTGTCTTTGAATTGAATTAATCCCATTTCCAGATTAATTTTCTCAGGAAAAGTTTAGGAACTACTTTGCTCAGGTATGCAGCCAGATATCTAGGTTTAACAGTAGACAAGCCCCTTTTAGGGTCCACAGTGTAGTGGAGGTGAAGAACAAGTAAAAAGGTAGTTTTGATATTCTTAATTGGGGTCTTTAGGGATCACTATATATACAGGTGGAGTCTTCCTGGGGATTGTGTTAAATCTGGATGGGAAGAGAAATACCGGAGTCCTCCACATCTGGCTGAGCTTTTATTGGTATTTCACAGTCAGTGAATCCCTTGGGGAATTGTTAATACTTGTTCTCGCGGGCCGCACACCTCAATGGCATGCTCATGCTCCTCAGTGTTCATTTAGTTTCTCGACTGACAGCTCCAAGCTTTTCCTGCTGCCTCCTGAGCTGCTGTTTTGTCTAAGTCAGCGCTAATGGAGTTGGGAGCAGAGAGGTAAAGAAAAATGAAGGAGATCTGAATTTGCAACTACAGAATAGTTGGATCTGTCTGTGTGCCCTAAGAAAGTATGACTATTCAGCTTATTGGGATCTTAGAAAAATTGATGAGTCTGTTCTGCAAATTCTGCAAAGATAGGGCAGATCTCTATGGAAAACCTTATATGACAGCAGTGTGGAGTTTGGGTGGGTGAAAATATGTTTTTTATTTTTATTTTTTTTAAAGATTTATTTATTTATTTATTTATACAAGCATTGGTTACAGTCAGAAGCACAGGAGGGTGAGAGAATTCACCAGAGCCAGAACAGGGAACAAAACAGGCAGACTGATGAGATACACTGCTGAGGGGAGCAGCGGGTGAGACAGGAGAGGTCCGTTGCACCATGTGGGACCCTGGCCTGCGGCTGGGGATGGAACCGGCACTGCAGAGCCTGCAGGCAGCTTTGCAGCCCAGCATTTAACCACTGTGCCACCAGGGAAAGCCCTGAAAATATATTTTTAAATTGTTTTTTCTTTATTGAGGAAACATTGGTTTACAATACCGATAGATGCTTTAGGGGAATAGGTTTACCCCTCCTCAGATGTATGTTACCACACTGAAAAATATTCTTGTATGTTGGGGGTACATGCTGGTTCTGTGACCCATTTTGTCCCCTCACTGGTGTCTTACAGTAAGCAGCTGTTGTGTGACGTGATGATTGTGGCGGAAGATGTCGAGATAGAAGCCCACCGTGTGGTCCTGGCAGCGTGCAGTCCCTACTTCTGTGCAATGTTCACAGGTATGATGAGAAGCAAATAAGAACCGACAGTTATGGGGCTGTAGCCCCATGGGGAGAACATAGGAGGGTGGTGGCATGAGGGGAGGGAGGGAAGAGAAGGCGGTGGCACTCACCAATGCTTCTATGAGCCAGACACTGTGTTTTGCATCTTGGAGGACTTTATGGAAGCCTAGTTTCAGCCAGGTCAGTTGGGCATGAGGAGAAAAGAGGCAAAATTATTTAGTTCATTAATTGTTCAACTCTGGCACATGTCATAATCACATGGAGGAGCTTGTTAAAAATGCAGGCTCTTGGGCTCATCCCCAGGCCTTCAGTACTCTTTCTTGGCAGATGAGGAACACTGAGGCTGAGAGAGGAAGTATGTGCCAAGGGTCACACAGTGATTGTGTGGAACTTGTCAAGAAGCCAATTTCCACACTTATCCTTTGTTGGTTCTTCCTTCCACAGGGGGTCATGGGCTTCCTCTAGCCTTTAAAGGATCATGGGAGATGTTTGGGGAAAGTGATGGCGGAGCGTGGAGCTTAGTAAGTTATAGGAATATTCACCATCTGGCATGCAGTTTCAGCACTTTGCCAACCTTGCGGGGAGTCCCTGCTTCCTGGTTATGCCAAATTGTCTGGCCCAACCACTTCACATGTTAACTCTGTGGCTTAATCCCTGAAACCCTCGGACTGAGATTCTCTGTAGTTCCTCACAACACTTGCCCTGAAACAGGTACTATAAACCACTGCTGACTGAGGGCCAGCTGAGCTGGGTGAGGGCCCCCGGACTGAGTCAGGTGTCCCTTCTACACGCCATCTGAGTACCCTGCGCTTTCTCTGGGTCTGGTGACTCACTCTGTATTCTCATGCTTCCTGGTGTGTACAGTGCCCATGCTCTAGTGTCCCAGGTATCAACTATTTCTCGTCCTGCAGTTTACAGCTCAAGTGTCTTCTGCTCAGAGAGGCCTCTTCTGATTATTCCTCATGGAGTCTCTTCCTACTCCATAACTTGACAGTTTTTTTCATAACATTTATCACTATTCATAAAACGTATGTTAGTTTTTTTAATAGATTTATTTTTATTTATTTATACAAGCACTGGGTACAGTCAGAAGCGCGGGAGGGTGAGAGAACTCAGCAGAGCCAGAGCGGGGAGCAGAGCAGGCAGACGGACCAAAGTACACTGCTGAGGGGAGCAGCGGGTGGCAGGAGAGGTCTGCGCGCCATGTGGGACCCTCCTCTGGTGGCCGGGGAGCAGCCGGGGATCGAACCGGCACTGCAGAGGCTGCGGGCAGCTTTGCAACCCAGCGCTCAACCGCTGCGCCACTGGGGAGGCCCCCAGATATGTTTTAAATGAATGAATGAAATGTCTCCTACACTTGATTGTGAGTTCTGGATCTTGGGGACCATATCTTATCGTTGTTGAATCAGTGCTCACTATGGGACTTGGTATTTTGGGGACAATGGCTAAGTGTAGGTTGAAAGAATGAACAAAGCTTTGCTTGCTTAGAATGGGTGTCTGCAGACACATTTTGCTGAACAGGCCCAGCCTCTGCTGGGCAAGAGTGGTTCTTGCTGGGGGAGAACTGACTTTTGTGTTTTGGGAGTTCCTCCCATGTGTGTCCTCTTTGGCTCATCATGTGAAGGAGCTGGTCTTACCTTGGAGCTGTGTCTCAACTAAGTAGACCAAACCATTCTGACCATACCTTGAGCCTTGGGCCAGGAGTTTTAGAATGTAGCCTGGGAAAGCAGCTAATTTTACTACCAGGGAATTTTGAGTTGTATTCTCTTTGGATTAATCTTAAACCCTACTGGTAAGATTTTTATTTATTTTCTTCCCTCTCCATCCTTCTCTTTTAACAGAATTCATCTTGTCTGCAATAGTTGTTTAGCTTTTTCAGTCCTTGTTCTCTGTGTGTGTGGTTTGGATAGTTGAGTTTTCAGAGAGGAATCTGTTTGCAATTGCAATGAATTGTAGTCTTGGCTCCTTTTTTTCTTTCTTTCTTTTTTTTTTTGCTAATGAATTTGCCTCAGGGATAGTGGAAGTGCCTAGGCAAAACCAAGGTGATTTTAGAATGGAGAGAGAAGATAGTTCTGGGCAGTCCTTAGATTCTACTGATTAAAGGAAGGAGAGAATCAAGAGAAGAATGCAGTTTAATGTGATGTCCAGCTCATGTCCTCCACTGGTTACCAACCATCCAGCCATCCATATATCCATTTATCCAAACACTATTCAAAAATGATCTCTGAAAAAAAAAATTAGAAAATATGGGCAAGCAAAAAATAAAAAATTACATGTAATACAATGTAGTTTATATCCTTTCAGACTTTATATATACAAATGTATAGATGCAAATTTTTTTTTCTTTTTTTTAAAGATTTATTTACTTATGCATGCAAGAACTGGGGGATGTAGTTCAGAGGTGTGGGGGTTAAGAAGATTCACCAGAAACAGTGGGAAGCAGAACAGGAGGATCTACTGAAAAACACTGCTAGGGAGCAATGGACGAGACAGAAGAGGTCTGCTGCGCCACATATGTGGGTTATCTCCCTGGCCAGGAATTGAACTCATGTTGCAGTGGCTGGCATTAGCTTGATAGCACTGTGTCTTTAACCCCTGCACCACCAGGGAGGCCCAGATGCAAAATATAAAAATGAATGCAAATGAGTTCATTTTATATATACATAATTGAATAACCTTTTTTTCATATATGTACCAAAAAAAAAACTTGCTGTTTATCTTCCTGAAATGTTCTTCTTCCCTATCTCTTTGCCTGCCTAGCCCTATCCATCCTTTATTACTGCATAAGCATCACTTCCCCAGGAAGGCCTTTCATGGAAGGCCTCCTAGATTAGGTTAAATCCTGGTACCTTATGCTTCTCTTTAGTATTGCTACTTCTCTCATTCCTCAAAATCTGATTTCCCTGGTTGGCCACAAACTTTACAAGGGTAAGAATTGTATCTTTTCAATTTGCTGCTGAGTTCCCACTGTCTAGCATGATCATTCATGCAGTAGGTGCTCAATGAAAATTTGCTCAATTGAACTGCACAGTAATTTAGGAGTATAGTTTCATGTTTGTAAAATCATATCTCCATCATATTTTAGTGGCTTTATCATATGTATCCTAATTGAAAATTATAGTTTTTTCTAATATTTTACTATTATAAATAATTCTGCAGTGGGCATTCTTGCATATTAATCTTTATTTCCATTTTTGATTATTTCCTTAAACTAGATTGCTAGAGTAAGAAATCCTTGGCTTAAGGGAATATACATTTTGAAGACTTTTGAAACATATACCAAAATTCCACAATTCCAGAACACTTATACTAGCTCATACTTCTATTAGCAACATATGAGATTTGTGTATTTTTTGAGGCCCTTTGGTTTTGCTTATACCTTGGTAAATAGGTACAAAAAAAGCAACACTGCAAAATTTTGTTCTAGTGATTAGGTTCAGCTTCAAAATGAATAAAATTAGTAATGAAAAGTTCCAGCTGACTCATATTAAATCCATTTTTTTAAAGATTTTATTTATTTTTATACAAGAACCAGGGTACAGACCAGATGCGCAGGAGGGTAAGAGGATTCATTGGAGACAGAGCGGGGAACAGAACAGGCAGAATGATGAAGTACACTGTTGGGGGGAGCAGTGGGCGAGACAGGGAAGTCTGCCTCGCCATGTGGGACCCTTGCCAGCCAGCCAGGATCAAACCCATACTGCAGAGACTGTGGACAGCTTTACAGTGTGGCACTCAACCAGGGAGGCCCTCCAGTTTTTTTTTTTAAATTTATCTTTATTTATGCATACAAGAGCTGGGGTGCAGGTCAGAGGTGGGGAGGGGTGAGAGGATTCCCCTTAGACAGATTGGGGAGCAGAACAGGTAGATTCACTGAAATACACTGCTGAGGGGGAGCCGTAGGCAAGACAGGAGAGGTGGTGAGCTCCTTGGCTGGGGATTGAACTCATGCTGCAGTGGCTGCCAATAGCTTCATAGTGGTGGGTCTTAACCCCTTGTGCCAACAGGGAGTCCCTTATTAAGTCCATTTCTATCAACATATTTATGTATCCCCACAAAAAAGAAAATTTGTAACTTTCTTTTGATTTGAGTGGTGTTATTACAATCTTTTCTTAAGCTGAAAGTGTTTTTATTTTTTGTATTCTGAGTTTATGTTGTATTTGGAAGTTCTAAATACCAACCCTACTCCTTAACCATGTTAGTAACTTGGAAAAAATGTGAAACTGAGATGTGAGTGCCCACAGGCAAGTGTCCAAGGGCAGCCGCCCTTGGAGAAGACTTGGGATGGGCAGTCAACATGAGTGGGATTCTGTCTATCTCTCCCCTGAGAGTGTGGAATACTTACTATGCACCCCATCCTCATCCTCTTCAGGTAGCACATCCATCCCAGGGAAATTAATTTTCCCAGAATTGGCTAGTCAGTTTTTTCTTCTTTTATCATGCCCTTTATTATGAGATCTGTGTATTATGGTGTTTGTACTCCATACCGGTCCCTCTATGTCCATCCAAATATTTTAAAAGCCACTCCACTTTATGAGTTTATAGGAACTGTGGCCTTTAGTGATGAATATATGGGTAAGGGTCTTATGCCCAAGACATGGGGCTTCCACTCCAGAAGAAACTCTGGGAGTGAGCTCTCCTTCTTTCTGACTCTATCGTATGATATGTAGTGGCTGATTATATTGGTCTTTGTTTTTTTTTTTTTTTTTTTTTAGATTTATTTATTTATTTGTTTGTTTATTTATTTATTTATACAAGCACTGGGTACAGTCAGAAGCACGGGAGGGTGAGAGAATTCACCAGAGCCAGAGCGGGGAGCAGAGCAGGCAGAAGGACTGAAGTACACTGCTGAGGGGAGCAGCGGGTGGCAGGAGAGGTCTGCGCACCATGTGGGACCCTCCTCTGGTGGCTGGGGAGCAGCCGGGGATTGAACCGGCACTGCAGAGGCTGCGGGCAGCTTCGCAACCCAGCACTCAACCGCTGCGCCACCGGGGAGG